AGAAGATCTTATGTCCTTCAGATTTCTATTCAAATGTTGACTAACTAGAGAGACCTTCCCTCACCACCCTATGTAAAATCACCCTTGCCTCATTCCTATCCTCCCAACATGCCCTGTTCTGCTTACACCGTTTATTTGTCTCTGTAACACTCCTTGCTGTGTGCCATCTTACATTTTTGCTTCTATCTTTGTTATCCTTCCACTAAACTGGAAGCTCAGCAAGGACAGGGGTTTTGTTCAGTTTGTTCATGCTGTTTTCCTAGCACTATAGCTGTTCCTGACAAATAGGATGAACTCAGTATGCTGAGAGGTTTCAGAAATAAATAATAGGTCTCCTCCAAGGGCAGATATTCATTATTCTGAGAGAAAAATCTATGAGGCCACAAGTATCAATACCTCAGTGCAATTTATGTCCAATTATAGCTAGAACAACTTCAGGGAAAGCAGACAGGTGGGAATCAGGACACCTGGTCTCTCGTCCTGGAACTGTCCTTTGCCCACTGTGTGACTCTAAGTGTTTACTTTTGGGTTTAGATTTCATCACCTGTAAAATGATGTTGTTGAACTAATAGATCAGGGGCTCCAGGCTGGGGGTCTAGAGACTCCTCATCAGCCTACAGTGGGCTTCTGGGGACAGGTGCCTCTCCTTTTGGTGTAGGAAACATTGTGAGGCTATGGCACAGGTGCACATTTCTTTTCCAGATGACAGGGAGGTTTGTGGCCCTGAAATGGAACAGAAATCCTTGAAGTCTGTTTTAGTCCTAACTTTATGTGGTTCTAAGTTTTGAAAAGAGAATGACAGAAGACAGCCTGATGCCACTGTGCAGCTGGAAGGCATTCTCAGTTCTGCTACATCCTGAGAAAGTTTTCTCTCTCAGTTGGGTTTATATCACTTGTAAAATGAGGGAATTGGGCTAGATGATCCAAAATAATACCTCTAATTCTATATTCAACTCAAACCAAACCAAAGCCAAGAAACAAACAAACAAACAAATAAAAAGATGTGGAAGTAAGCTTGGGGAGTCAGATTGGTCCCTGCCGGGTCCTCAGGAGTCAGAATCCCAGACCTGTGGTGGTTCCTGCATAACATTAGCTCATGGGCTCGATGACCTTCTGAGAAATGGAAGGTTGAGTCTTAGGGATGATTGGAAATGGAGAAGAAAAAGCTACACTGCTTTCCCCAAAGAGAATTGGAGGCTGATTCCCTAAAGTTTAACCTCATAAATCCTAAAATAAATAATGGAAAAGATCTCTTTATGGTATTGGAGAATCTTTTGATAGGTTAAAGGGGTGTATACAGTCCCTTGTTAGTCTACTTTTCTTATTAGAATCCAGATAACATTTTGTTATTGAGGAAATACATTTGTCACATGTATACTTTTGATTTGTTCCACTCTTCTCTCAGATCTCTCCCCCTGGCCTCATTCCCTTGCTAGTAGTGCCTATTATTTCTTTTTTAAAAATTATTTTAAAGCATTACATATGTCTCTGTTTTCCACCATTGACCTCCTCCCATCCACCTTCACCCCGCAGCACATGCCCTCATCCCCCCACCCGACCTAGTTTCTATGTCCATTGGTTATGCTTGGTTGATTTTTTACCAGCACTCCTTCCCCCCCCCCCCCCCCCTTCCTACTGAAGTTTGACAGTCTGATGCTTCTCTGTCTCTATCTATTTTTGCTCATCATCAGTTTATGTTGTTCATTATATTCCACAAATGAGTAAGCTCATATGATATTTATCTTTCTCTGACTGGCTTATTTCCCTTAGCATAATGCTCTCCAGTTCCATCCATTCTGTTGCAAATGGTAAGAATTCCTTCTTTTTTACTGCAGTGTAGTATTCCATTGTGTAGATGTGCCACAGTTTTCTAATCCACTCATCTGCTGATGGACACTTAGGCTGTTTCCAAATCTTAGCTATGGCGAATTGTGCTGCTATGAACATAGGGGTGCATCTATCCTTTCTGATTGGTGTTTATGTTATTTCTATATATATATATATATATATATATATATATATATATATATATATCCTGTTTGCTCTGGACAGTAGATTTGTGACCGGGTTGGGAAGAATACACACAGCACTCAGAGGATGTTGATTGAAGCCTCTCTTTTTTTTTTTTTTTTTTTTTTTTTTTTTTAATACATTTTATTGATTTTTGTACAGAGAGGAAGGGAGAGAGATAGAGAGTTAGAAACATCAATGACAGAGAGTCATCGATCAGCTGCCTGTTGCACACTCCCTACTGGGGATGTGCCCGCAACCAAGGTACATGCCCTTGACCGGAATCGAACCCGGGGCCCTTCAGTCCCCAAGCTGACGCTCTATCCATTGAGCCAAACCGGTCCCGGCTGATTGAAGCCTCTCTGTCCCCAGATACGATGTGGTCCTGGGGATAACAGTATGGAAGGTTGATAACAGTAGTTCCCTCCTTTCACTCAAAGCCAAATGAGACACAGTCCCTGCTCTGCATCTCAGAGTCACCACAAACAAAGCTGGATTTGCACTGGTATCCACTATTCCAGGATTCCGCTCCTCCCTTCCCACAAGTGGGGAGGCTGCATCCTATGATGAGGAGAGTGCCTTTGGTCAGCAGACAGTTGTCTACATTACCCCTGTGGGGCAATGGGCCTGAATAAGGTATTTTCTTTCTTCAGGGGCCTGGGCCAAACTCTACTGTGCCTCCAGGGCCCATTAGGCTGCAGGTCACAGCAGCTGGAGCCCAGGGCCCAGAGCTGGTCACGGGTCTGTGCTGCCTGCTCCATGAGTCACAATGGAGTCATTGACTATTTATTTACTCAGCACAACAAGGCCGCTGTTGACTTAATTACTGGAGCCTCCCTGCTACCCTTGGGATCTTTAAATGACTAAGAGACTTTCTATTGCCACTAACTCACCCCTCCTTAACCTCTGTTAAGTCCCCAGTCTCCCTCACAGGGGAGGGCTCAGTTGGCATGTAGGGGGCACTGTGAGCCAGTAGTCCTGGTGGAGAGGGCAGAGACGGGTGGTTTTCCTTGGGAGCTGGGTAGGGGTTGGCAGGGCTGAGTCTCTGTGTTTCAAGCTGGCCTGAGGCAGGCATTAGCCCTGGGCTGTGGAGGGTGGCAATGATGTGCCAGGTTTGGGCAGGGCTGAACTCTATGAGAAGCAACCAAAGGCTTGTCTCCAGTCATGACCACAACTGGTCTCTGGAGGTAGTTTTTCACTTAAGGCCATTGGAATTAAGAGATTGGAAGTCAAGTCTGGCTCCTTACTGCAGCCTGTTTGAACATTACCCCCCTCCCAGCTTCTGCTCAGCCTCACTTAAACCTCCTCTCTAATCGCTTCCTCTGGGGGCAACTTGCAAAATCTCTGCTCTAGTTAATATTGTAGGGACAAAGATAAAGCAGCAAGGGTATTGAATAGCTGTTGATTTTTCTGCCCTGGAGGAGTGGAAATGGGAGATTGTTTGCAAAATGGACACAAGACACCAGGGCGGTGAGGGCATGAGTGGGGAGGGGTGATACGGCAATAGGGGACAAGGACACATACATAATACCTTAATCAATAAAGAAAATAAATAAACAAACAGTAGAAGTATGGGGGGGGGGGGAAAGCTGATGTTCTTCCTGAAACGCCTGGGGAGACCCCAGGTGTGCAGCTGCCAGCGGTCCTCCCTGGAAGCAGAGTTGAGGGAAGATTCAGGGAGGTTTGTACCCCTCCCCTCTTCGTGGGCTTTTTAAAAAAGTCCTTTAGGACATTTAGCCCTGAGGCCAGCGAGGCCTGAACTGCTCCCCAGATTTCTTTCTCCAACCTTTGAACTGAGACCTCCAGTGCAGCAGCAACCATAGGATCTCAAATCAAACTTCTTTCTGTAATTTGTTTGGGTTGGGAGTCAGGGACTGGGGGAAGGAGGAGTCTGACATTAAGGCGCCAGGTGGGCACCAATACTGCCTGCCAATCCTCGGACCTTGGGAGAAGTCCCTTTCAGTACAGGAGGCAAAGAGAGAGGTGCCTAAGAGGACCGGGAAGCCAGGGGAGTGTGCAAAAGGGTGGGGGTGCAGATGAGGCGCAGGTCAAGATCGCTCTCGGACCTCCGAGGGAAAGGGCAGGATTTGGACTAAAAGTGCCGCTTTAGAGTCTACAAGCTGCTTCCCAAACGCAGGCAGCAGCGGAGAAGTTTTCGTTGCTATGGTTTCAGAGAGGTCTAAAAGTCACCACCCAGAACCCAAGGAGCTGGGTCTCCTTACGCATGCAAGCATTTGGTCAGCGCCCAGGGCCAGGCACGTGCCCTGGCGATTTGCATCCCTCCCTGACCCCGCACCCCTTTCCCAGTCCTCCCATCCCAGACACCCCCGCTGGGATGCGCACCGATGGGAGGCGTTCCTAATATCCAAGTCTGGGGGCGCCCAGCATCCTCGCACTTTCGCTCCTGCTGCCCACTGCCCTGCGCTGGCAGCCCTGTGGCCCCGGCGGGAGGTGCGGACCGCGCAGGGGCTGCGGCGGGCGGGGGCTGGGGGGAAAGGAGCGCGGCGCCTTTAAAGCGGGAGGCGCGGAGCCCCCGCCAGGAGGCGTGTCTGTCTCAGCGGCCGCCGCAGCTCCGGTCTCCGTCTCTGCCGCCGCCAACGCCGCCGTCACTCGCGCTCGGCGCCCGCCCGCGGCTGCGCTCCTCCGTCCCGGAGCCCGGGACTCCCCGCCGGACCTCCTCGGGCTGCTCCTCCCCAAGGACCACCCCCGCCCCCGCCCGCTCACCTCCCCCCGCCCCAGCCAGAGGTAAGCGCTCCCTCCGGGTGGGCTGCGATCGGGGCTGCCTCCCCAGGAGCACGTTCCCACGGGGACCGGAGGGACCGGGGTGGGCGAGCGACGCTTTCCGCCGGGAGGAGGACGACAGCGAGGAGCGGCGCGGGGAGCCCCGTGCGCCCCGGGCAGCCGCCAGCCTCATCGATCCGCTGCGAGTGGCTTTGTCCCGCCGGCTGCAGCCGATTCAGATTCCCGTCCGGGATGCAGCCGGCTCTGCTCCGCGCAGAATAAGGTCCTGAGCGGACGCGCTAGGAAGTGGCCTCCGCCGCCGGGACGCGCGCGCGAGGCGAAGAGACACCGATGGCGAGAAGCTGGGTCTGCCTGCGGGTCTGACCAACTCCCCAGCCTGCCTTCCATCCACCCGTGTTCCCAGGCTCCCAGCGACCAGGCTCCCCAGTTCCACAAGGAAAAGCAGGCATCCCCATTCACCGCTGCCGCTACTGCGAGCTTCTGGGAAACTCGCAGGGCGTCCCGCTAGGGTCAGGGGAGTAGTGTCTCACCAGGGTGGATGGTCAACCTCAAGAACTTTTAAAGGCACTCTCCCAGCCCCTGGTACTGTGGCCTTCCGGGAGCTCTTTACCAAACAAGGGACCCAACTGTGGTTCTTTATAAGGATTTCCAACTTAGGGAATAGGGGATATTAGAAAACTTCTCACTGCTGTACTTTTGGTAACAAACAGATTACCTCCTGTCGTTTCTTCATCTTCGTACTGTAAGTATTCTCTCAGCAGAAATTACCTTTCGGGTTCATTATGCTTTTCCGTTCACAAGAGGTGATTGATTCATTGATTGATTCATTTGAATTTTAGGGTTAGTATACTGGAATATATTTCAGTCTTGACTTGTCTAAGTTTATTACCTTACAACTTTTTTTTTTTTAATAGGAATCATTTTTGTCACCAGCAGGGCAGCTTCTAGAAGCCTTAGGAACGTCTTACTTAAACAAACAAACAAACACACATAAAAATGAGAGGTACCAAAGGAAGGTGATAGAGAATAAGTGGTGCCTAGAAGTCTTACCTGTTTGTTTTCTTCTATTTAAACCCATTGGAGATTGCACAGGCTGAAATTAAGAGAAAAAAAGGTTCCAGGGCCTGTAAATCTATTCCAATTTAGTTTCTTAATTAAGATATACTTCTTTATGGCATCACAAATTTAATTAAAACTCTAAATGCTATTAATCATCAATGCAGCAGAATGTTGGTAGAACAGTGGATGTGTTGAGAATCACAAGGGATTGCATAGCACAGCATTCAGAGTTAAGAAGAGGGAAGTGCAAGTATGCAACAGTATGGTTTTAACTGATATCAGATCCCACTTTGTTCTCTGGCACTTCTAGTATCATGGGTGAACAGGCTGTTTGTTTTAGCTTAGCTGCCATACAACAGGCCACATGCATGGAAGACTAGGTCAAGTGTTGCTATGAGATGAGGTTTCTTATGTGTCACATAATAGCAGGACTTATGTGACAAGTTTAGTGGAATTCTTACAAAGAATTCCAGGTGGACAATGTAAGTATAGATATGGGATGGAAGAACCTCTGAAACATCTTAGAAATTCAGGCTGTCCTGGGATTATGTATTTGCTGTTTCTTGCAAAAGGTATCTAAACATTGTGCTGTAAGGATTATCACACATTTGTCCATGCCCCAGCAGGTGGCAGCTAACTAGAATAAGATTCATTTTCACTGGGAGAATAGAAAAATAAAATTGATTCTCAAGTAATAGTGCCCCCAAATAAGAGGTCATTAGTGTCAGTAAGTATAAAAATACAGTGAAAGATGAAGCGAAGGGCTTTTTGTTGTTGCTGAAACAAGCTTTTGCATGAACATGATATGCATTTTGTTCTTTGGTAATTTATCATAGGCTTGATTTCTCTTCATGTCAGCATTCTGTATTTTTTTGAGCCTTACTTTTAGTCACAGCTCCTCTCTGTGTGTACATATATGTGTGCATTTGCCATTTGTCATCTCTGCTTTGACCTTGGAACCTACAGAGCTTTGGCTCCTGGAATAAAGGTTGCATATGGTTAAAGTGAGAAAAAGATGCAACCATGGAATAAGGTATATAAATTTTACTATTACAAAACATATAGGATCTCCTGACACTGAATAGTGTTTTTTATTTTTTATTTATTTATTTTTTATTTGTGAGAAAAAAAGCAAATCACAAAACTGACACAGTTTTAAAAAGATTTAAACCTGGTCAGTGAATACTATATAATGATTTTATCAATCCTTCATATAGCTTAAAACTGGGATGCATATTTTTAGTATTGAGGAGAAACTTGTAATTACTTCAAAATTGCCTTACTATAGTCATCTTTTACACCAAATCATTCTGTTCTAGTATTCAGAAGGTAATTTTGGGTTTTTTGTTGTTGTTGCTTTTGCCCTGGGAGTGAGTGATATTTAGTGAGAGAAAAAAAAAAAAAAAGAAAATTAATCTGATTACCCTTGTAACAGATGGAAATCTGCAGGTGGAGAATTCTAAAGCAATAACTAATTGCACATGTTAGAAATGTCTTTAGCCACTGGACATTGACAGCATGTTACTCAATATTCTGAATTCTTGGTGGTCTTTCAGGCTTTTTTTTTGTATTGTGAAATAAGTAGTTTAGTGTTCACGAGGGAACTCAGTTATTGTAAGTGGCTTTTGTGGTAGTATGCCCTGTAAGGGGATGGTTATTAGCACATCCTGGGTGTGCCAAGCAATCCCAGTAAGTCACACTGACATATACACACCACACAGTTGATAAAAAACCCTTTAGACAATGCGAGCAATGCCATAATTCAAATACACAGACTCTGTGTAGTAGAAATTTTCACATTGCTACTTCAAATGGTACATTACCCATTCAATGTACCACTTTCAATGTACTACTCCAGAATAGAATAAATCTATGTCTGGAGCGCTGTCCGCGGTCCTGAAGAAAGGTTGTCTCCTGCCTGCAGTTCAATTGGACAGGTGGAGTTGTTGTCTGTGGTGTTGAAATCTTTCAGATTCATTGATGGATGCAAATGAATGTAATTTAGCATATGTGCAAAATTGGCTCTTGGGGGACCAATTAATAGTAAAGAAATTATGATAGACTTTCAACTGTTTAATTTACTGTGTAAGAACTTCATGAATCTGGAAGCTTGATCTTTCACTTTTCCAACTAGACATCTAATAAATAATCCCACAAAACTGCATCTAGTTTAGAATGGTAGTTTTAAGCAGAGACATTACAACTGCAATGTCAATTGCCATTATGTTAACAGAATACACGAAAAACAAGTGCCATAGTACATTTGTTTCTCAAATTCCATTAAATGACAACTACACTGCAGAATTGCAGAATTTTGATTAGTCACAACATCCTATTTTCAGGTATTGAGTATAAATTATATTTGACAGATAAAAAATAAAAATATTTATTGTTTCCCCCACAGTCATTATTATCTCTGCTGGAATCAAAAAGAGAAAAGAATAAATAGAATGGAATAAATGAGATGGCAAATACAAGATAGAACATGTTGGACTGTACATGCCTACAAGAGACATTTTAAACATGGACTGAAGGAGTCGCTAGATACCCTTAGTTTTAGCACAAGGTGTTCCTTTTAAAGTGCTCAAATAGTCAAATTTTTTGATTGAACTGACTGCTACACTGCAGAACTAGCCATTCATGATACTTATTTTTGACACTGCAGTTATGCCTCCATTTTAAAAAATAAAATCAATGCTCACTTAATGCCTTTGCAAAATATAGGATTATTTTCAAAGAATCATTTTATAGTGTCATAAGAAAAAATATTGAATGAATTATTTTGGTGGATTGCAAACAGTTCATTGTTTTCTTGCTTTCTGGAGGAAAGATTACTCATATCACTATTTAAAAATTAGATATTTTTCAAATAAGGCATTTAATATTTTTTCATAAGGTTTAACCTAATGCCCTGTTAGTTGGTATGAAAAAGAGGTTAATTTTAAGATACAGGCTTAGCAGTTTGCCTCTTGTGCTTCTTGATCACTTAATAATAATATATAGCAATGTGTTTATTCCTATCCATCTTGCTTTCACTTACTAATGTAAAATATCAGGATTGGACATTTTTCATTTATATATGCATGGGAGAGAGCATATTAACTATTTCAACAGTAAAGTGTATTTCAATAGAAAATACAATTCTCTGTATTTTTTTTCTTTGATTAAATTACCACTTGTGAAAGCCAAGATAGTCACTGCCTGGGAACTCTTAATTATTCTAATCCCATATTCCACCTCTTAAATAAAATATTCCATTAAAAAAATAAACCTAAGAAGTTTGGGCAAAATTACTGAAGATTCTGAGTTGGCTGCACCAATTCACATTGTCTTTTTACATGTGCACAATTATTGTAGATGAGCTAAAAATGGGTGGGAAGATATGATTCTTTTATTTTAATCCAACATTCTCCCCCTTCCCCCCCCCCCCCCCCCAAAAAAAAAAAGGCCACTTGAAGAAACCTACTTTTATTCCTGGGTAGTAATCAAGAAATGTCCCACTAAAGTTTTTAATGATTATCTTCACATCTCCAATTGCACTCCGATCTCTATTCATTCCTGGACAAAATTTTAAAAGTATAACTCAGACCCTCTTTTCAACTTAAGCACAAATTACATTTGCAATAAATTCTTTTGTCTTACATCACTTCCTTTTTTTTTTTTTTTTTTTTTTTTTACAACTCCTAGGCAAAGTGACTTTGACTTAGCTTGTCCTGCCGTTTATTACAATTCGTCAATTGATTGCAAGAAGTCCACTTGCATATACTAGCCACTCTCTTGGCTAAGAGTCTCGAGTGAAAATAAAAACACTTCCTCCCCTTGTAAATAAATCCGACTTCATTCTTGTAACTTAAGGCAGCTGATCACCTCGGTTGCATAATAGATATGGGGAAGCTCGCTGGCAGGGAGCCTTAGGAGGCAAGCCGCTATCTCAATTTTTCTCACTTAATCTTGGCTTCCCTTCAGGAGCTGTGCAGCAGTGCAGTAGAATAGGGCCTGGCAAAACCTTTGAGAGCAAAGCGCCTTTTGTGCGGGAGGGAACTGGAGCTCAGCTACGGACGCCCCGGCCGTTTCCAAGGCTGGATTTCCTATTGATTTCCCCCCCTCCTTTGCTTCTCCAGGCTCGCGCAGCTGGACATTGTGGGCGTGCGTGCTGGATTTCTCTCTCTCTCGGATGCTCCCGGACTAACATGGATGTCCCGCCATCCCTTGCAGTGGAAGGTTGCTTCTTGGCGCAGTGAGTGGAGAACATGCAGCGATTGCTAATGGGCTTGGGAAGCGGAGACTCCTTCCCTCTCTCGGCGGTGACCATGCCTTGATCGCGCCTGCGGCCACCACCACTCCACACCACAGCCTCCTTCCTACCCGAACCGGGAGCCTCCCCGCTCCGCTAGATCCGGGAAGTGGGTGCCCCGCGCGTGGACACAGGAAACACCATGAAGATTATTCCTCCGATGCTAAGTCATCCAGTCTTCAGGCGCACCCTTAAACTCCTGCTCTGCTTCCTGTGCATCGGATATTCTCAAGGAACCACACATGTATTGAGATTTGGTAAGATTCCCGGTCTCTCGGTCTCTCTCCGGCTCTGGGTGTCTGGCTCGGAGGCAGGCGGCGGATGTAAACAGAGGGTTCGCACCGCGCAGCGGGGGGGCTCCCTCCATTCATTCCAACCTGTTCCACTGCTCCGTAGCCTCCTGGCTTTAAAGAAAACCCCTAGAGCCTTGGATTTCATGTCTTCCTCCATCTCCCCTTAAAAAAAAATGTAAACAGAGAAAAGCAAGCAGCTGGAGGTTGGATGGGTGTGTGTGTTTGGTGGTGGTCTCGGTCGCTGGGGACACAGCGCCTCGGAGCCACCTGCCCCCGCGGGGGGCCTCCGGGCTTGGCGGGAGGTGGGGTCCGCGCGCCCGGCCGGCCGAGCATCTCTCAGCTCCTCCGGCTGATGCTTTCACACTTGCTAACTCCTAACTCTGGCGAGTTGTGTTCCCAGCGCTTCTTCCTGGGACCAGGACAGGTCTGTACGTGAAGAGGCACTGGCCCCTTTGAATTCTTTTGTCATCCGAGAGAGATTTTTCCCCCCCTCCGGTTAATGTCACCCCTGTCCCAATCCCTGGTGCCTGTAGAGGGGCGCGAAGCCCTTAAAATATATCGTCGTTAAGGTTAAAGGCTCTACTTAGCTGGAGTGAAGTGGCGTCCTCAGACAAGGGCTTTGTTTGCTTTTAACTTGCGAGTCCTCCTCGGGAAGCTGCCACTCACACTGCTTGTCCTGGACTAGTCAGTGATGAACGGCGATGACTGGGGCGGAGGGGAGCTGTGTACAGGAGTCTAAATCTTTATTTCATGGTGGCATGATAAAGAGTCCGTCCAGCGAGCAGTTGTAGATTAGGGGAATCTATTGCTCTCCTGAGGAATTGGGGTTTCCTGAGAGCACAAAGGGAAGTCTGAATGTGAGACTTTAGTAGGAACAACTGGTCAGAAGGGTTGCTTGGAGGAAATGAAGTGTGGGCAAAGCTCAGCTGCTCTGGATGGCCGATGGAGTTTTAGCAGGAGCAGAACTAGTCGGAGAAAGTTCCCCTAAGGAGATGAGAGAGAGAGAGAAGAATGCCAACCCCATTAGGTAAATGCGTCCACCGTGGGCGCCTCCTTTGACAGTTCAAGTGGATTTAGACCAAAGTGTGCAGGAGACCATAAAATCCTGAGTATGTGCCTCTGAGATAAAAGCAGATACATTAAGTCATTCAATCACATTTAAATTGGAGTGATTGCCTGCATCTCCTGTTATGCCAACAGCATCCTCGCTTTCCTCTCCCCATGTGCTTTTTCTATAATGATAAAATTTATCATCTCTCTCAGGCTTTATGGAACCAGGGTAGGGATGTTTTTTTTTTTCAAATAGGGGAGTTCTACTTTTCTCTTCTCCCATCCAACACAAAGACCTGGAGTCCAGAAGGCTAGAATGAAGAAAAAAAAAGAAAAGAAAAAGAAGAAAAAGACAATGGGTTATGACTGGATTGTTACTGTAGTAGTTTTCCTTCTTTTTTCATGCCTTTAGATTGTACTTAAGCACGTTGCTGTTAGCAACAAGCATCCACTGAAATGCTTATTTCTTTGGACGAGATTAAACAGGTCCTTCTATCACTGGAAATGTGTCAGCTGTTCTGTTCCGAGCATGTTAGAGCTTACAGTATGGTAGTTTTGCCAATGTTTTGAGTAGTACAACCTACTTATTTGGAATATTGAGATCTCTTCTGAAGTGTGTTTGTGAATGAGTGTGCCTTAGTGTGTGTGCAGACTGGGTTGGGGGGAAAAAAGGAACCCTGGCAGCTGGAAAAATGAACCAGTACTCTAAAGATTTAATTATTGCTGTCCTGGTCTTGCAGCACAATATTTGCTGAATCATTAGATTGTTACATTCGCTGATCATTTCATATCTTCATATTAAAATCTTGGCGACTGTAGCAGAGTGTGTAGCAGCTTTCCAAAAGAGCTGACACACACAAAAATACATTTTCCTAGACCAATGCTTACTAAGAATCTCCTTAAAAAGTAAGGAAGGTAGGTAAAGACCTTCTCGCCAGTGCCTTGATACCCTAAACCTGTGGTCGGCAAACTGCGGCTCAAGAGCCACATGTGGCTCTTTGGCCCCTTAAGTGTGGCCCTTCCACAAAATACCATGGCTTGGGCAAGTCTCTTTTGAAGAAGTGGCGTTAGAAGAAGTTTAAGTTTTAAAAATTTGGCTCTCAAAGAAATTTCAATCGTTGTGCTGTTGATATTTGGCTCAGTTGACTAATGGGTTTGCCGACCACTGACCTAAACCAACAGCCCTGTTTCTAAAGAATCTGGTATTTTCTCCATCAACTTCAAACACCTTCCATGTGGAGGTCCATTTTCTCTGACTTCTGACCTGAGTTGGGGGGCAGGACTGTGTGCATTATAATCACTGGGACATTTATTTCACCGTTGAGGTTACTTTGATGCAATGGTGGGAGTTTCGTTTTCGTTTGGGGAAAACACGTTTTGTGTGGAGTGTATGGTTGGCTGAACACATACCTGCTGCTTTTGAGAAAGGCTATTTTATACTTGGGCTGGAAAAGTGAATCGGAGCCTCCTCCCTGGCCCTGTGCCTTGGAAGGGAAGAGGCTGGAGTTGCTCCTGGAGTAGCTGCCCCTAGACAGCCACTGGGTGTGGGTGAGACCCCTGACTCTGTGAGAAGGTGGTATCCAGCCCCTTCTTTCATCTCCCTCATCCACCCAGGTGTGGCTGGCAGGTGCCAACTACCTCCACCTCAGCAGTGCCATGGCAGTCACCATGCTCACCCACTCTATACGGTCTGTCCTTTATCCCACTCCCCGCCCAGCTTTCCCTATGTGCCCAGCCCAGGATACCTGGCAGAGTATCTCCAGTCTTCTCTCCTTAATCCCCACCTCTACCCCTTACCCCCAACACACTTTGGCACAGTGACTCCCCTCTGGTGCCCCCAAAACTTTCACTCACTTGTACCTATACCAGAGTGTCCCCTACTTCTTCCCCATTTCAACCTGCATGGCTCCACATAGGGCTGCACAGGGGGCCTACTTCCTCAGCTGCTTCTTAGGGAACTCCTGGGGGCTCCTGGGAGGCTTTAGGCAGCGTGGGGGTCAGCCCAGGGTCAGCTCCTCAGAAGGGGATGGGCAGGCTTCTCTCCTTGGATGTGGCAATTTCTGGGCTTCACCAGCGTGGCTTCTCCAGGGCGATAACCCAGCTTCTCCAGGGCGATAACTCCTAACCTTGTTAGGACACTGTGGATCTTGGACAGTTAGATAAGTCAATTCCCCTAAGGCTGGTCTGGTCAGACATTCTCCACCAATTTATGAGAGAGTGGAAGCTCTGGGATGCCCTCAGCCCAGCTTTGGAGCCCCAGTGTGCTATGTAAATGAGGCACCTTTGTTTATTGGAAGCTGCTCCCAGCCCTGCAGCTAGCCAGAGGGAGGCAGGATCCTCAATTGGGGGCATGGCCCCAATTCCACCACCTCCCAGTGAAAGTGGGTTCCGAGGGACTTCAAGATTTTTATTTTTAATTTTGTTATTTAGCCCCCTTCTCTTAGGTCTAAGGTGTAGGGAGGATTTGAAGCTGGTTCTCCATGGGATTCTGTGCAAGGCTAGCAGCCCTGCTTGGAGTTTAGGGACTCTGGCATTTGAATGCCAGGAGCAAAGACAGCAACCCAAACTTTCTCACAAACTCATGGGCAGTTTCTTCCAAGATAGTTCTTTCCAAGGAGCTGAGCATGTGGTGGGCTACTTCTTCCTTTTAGCTGTTTCAACCTGGCTTTCTCTTAAGCATGCCAGTAGGAAGCCTTTAATTAAAAGGTGTCCCAGGTGAGGCCCCTTCTCTCTCCCTCCCTCAGGCCCAGGGTTTATAGCCTCCTTCCCCTACATATACCCAAGATGAAGGCAGCCAGCTCAGGGAAAGCCCTGATACCAAAACCCAGGGCCTGAGAGGGAGCAGGAAGGGTTCCTGTGGAAATTCCCCTATTTTCTGGACATCCCATGTGATCCCAGATATAAATAATTAGTAGCAGATGTACTACAGCATGGAAGAGTGTGAATGAATTGACTTAGCTTAGGAGCCGCCACTCTCAACAAGTTCTTTGAAAGAGATTTTTCTTCCCTTGGGAGGGGAAGTGGGCAGGCGGGAGGAGTGGTCTTACATCTGGATCCAGGGAAAGTGGCTCTCTGGAGGCAGGGGTACTGCAGTCACAGCGGCCACAGCCTGAAACAGAGAAAGCCTGAACACCTGCTCAGCTGAGCTCCGGAAAGCAGGGGAGGGAAGTCTTTCCAAGAATCGAAAACACAACGGCCACAGTTAAAAAAAAAAAAAGATTTTTCACATAAGTTCTCACTTATTCTTAAAGCTTCAAAGAATAACTCTGATGTGATCCATCAAAGGAGGCACACTCATTTCAGAAAATGACATTGAAAAATGGTATTTTCGTCCTCCAGAAATAGCTCCCCTTTTCCAACCAGACACGTGGAGCTCTACACATTTTCTGGCTTTGTGAGGGGGTCTCTCAGCAGTGAGAATGGGTTTACGTGTCAGGAAACGTTTCTTCAGAAGACACCTTTGCTTTTCAGTTTAATGCAGGTGATCATTGCAGTGTGTTCATTCCCTGAATTCTCAAATGACGCTGTTTCAACATTTACTCAGCACAGGGAAGTTCGTGTGAATTGCCCCCATACAAAGGAGGAACTTGCCATGTGACAAACATGGGGTGTAGTATTCACCTTTAAATATAGTTTTGTCTATGATAACAATGACAACCTTGGATTTTCTTTTAATTTTCAGAATTTCTGTAATAAAAATGTGCTGTTCTGTAATAGATACTCTAGTGAGAGGAATTCATTTTCTCCTGTTGTTAGAATTTTACTGAGGTATTGTAGCACCAATTACATTTATTCCCTGGAAATCATCAGTGTCTATTTTTGCACACCAAGTAGAAAGCAGTTCACTGTCACTCAATGGTATACTTACGCCATTAATCCACTGCATCTGTACTGCCTGGGTTTGTAGGAGATAC